TTGATATTTGGACTTGCCACATACTCTTCCCAGCTGAAACAAATTGTGCCATTTTTAAGAAAATGACTTTGAACGTTGCTGTAAATGCGAAATTTGAAGCACTTTCTCACAGAAAAAATTTAAGTTTTCGAAAACTTTCATTGGAAGGTATTTGAAGCTCTTCCACTCACAAATGCAATAATTATTACAAATGGTTGGAAATGTGCATATTAACGGCATGACAGTTATTTAAAATAATGCATTTGTGTTATGTTTGAAAAATGAAAAGAATACCCCCCATAATACATTTTATGTGATCATAAGCAGCGAAATTAACATTATCCATACGAAAAGTTTGAAGAAATAATTTGAAACGGATTTGAGGAAAAAAAGCGTTTGAGCGTGTCTAAAAAAGCGAAATTTTGAGCTAATTTTACAGAAAACTGTTGAGTACTCGAGAAACTTTATATGATATTATTTGAACTACATTCACTCACAAACAAAATAATTTGGACAAAGTGCCGCAAATGTAAATATTAACGACATGAGAGACAAGTCAAAACAAGTACATTTTTGTGGTTTTTGAAAAAAAAAATAGAGCAATATGGAGTTTATGTCATCTTATAGAGTATATTTAGCACTATCACTGCCAAACGTTTAAAGAAAGAAATTAGAGCCGTTGTCGTGTTTTTGTTATTTTATTAAATTGTACTTACTGCATGCAATACTGCGCGAAAACTTCTAAAATTTTCAAAAAAATGTACATTACCTTAATGAGAGAACTAAATATGGAGAACAAATTTTACCGGAAGGAAAAATCTCTACCTTGAATTTTGTAGTTGGAAGAAGAAATTCAATCTTTTGAAATGTTCGAAAATTCAGAGTTAACAATGAAAAACGGAGCAATAACATCTTTATATAAGTGTATTTCACTTCATTCTTTCAACAACAAAAATTAAAGAAAAAATTTGGAGCCTGTTTGGAAAAAAATGGAAAATGATCCTTGGGCTTCATGTATAGTACCCCCAAATTTTAAAGAACGTTTTTCAAAATGGCAGTGTCTCGAGTCGAGCCAGATCGAATGGAGAATATCCATTTTGAAAAAATCCTATGTGTGGTTTAGGCGCTAGTTGCGTTTTCAGACGGAAGGACAGACAGACGAACGTAGACGTTTTGAGAACGCTTAAAAGGGTGGCATATCTCCTATTTTCACGGTTAACTCGAATTAAATTTTCGAAAATTGCAAAAGTTATTATTTTTTGGCCTCTTTCTACAACTACAAAGTTGAAGATAGTTTTCATTAACGTCATGTATTTTTTTTAAATTTTAGTAGTTTTTGCGCAATATTGTGTGCAATATGTGCAATTTTATAAAATAACAATAACAAGATTTTCTCGAAAAGAGTTCCAATTTTTTCTTTAAACTTTTGATAGGGATAGTACTAAAAGCACTCTATGAGATGACATAAATGCCTTGTAATTCTATTTCTTTTCAAAAATTACAAAACTGTATTTTTTTACTTGTCTCTCACGTTGTTTATATTTATATTAGCGGTAATTTCTTCCCATTATTATATTTATGATTGATGTGCTTTAAATAATGTCATATACACATACATACATGTGTATAGTTTCTCGAAAACCCAACTGTGTGAAAACTAGCTGAAAATTCTGAACTTTCAGAAATGCTCAAACGCCATTTTCTCAAAAAATGCTCCAAATGTTGTGTGTGTTAAAGTGCTTTAAATAGTGTGTGTTAAAGTGCTTTCAATAAAGTCTCAAAAATTGGCTGTGTAAAAGAGCTTCAAAATTCGAATTTACAGAAGCGCTTAAACGCTATTTTATTAAAAACGGCTCCAATTTTTTCAAATAAAATTGCCATTTAGGACGAGAATTGACTGTTTGGTATTCTTAAAAAAATATTTCGGTTCTACTATTAGGAAATAAATAACTTGAGTAAATTTTTAAAAGATGTACTTTGGGCGGCGATAGATGGCACCTGGCAATAGTATGTGGCATATAGCTACCCAACACCAATGGAAATAGAAAACGAATACGAGAATGTCTGTACCATTCTGTAGGACCACTAGTTATTTTTAATTATTTCAAGCCTGGCTTTTGATCATCTGCAGCCGTGTAAGAAAATTGAAATTGTTATATAATAAGTTTCGGTGTTCATTTTACTTTCTCGAATACTTACATAAAACTGAGTAATATAAGTAAGAAGAATTGGGGCACATTGATGCACGGGTTACCTTCATATACCCCCTCTACTGCTCACAAGGTCATTACATAAATTTTAGTTGCACAATTGCTGTGGTACTATACAGCTGTTCTAATATTTTTAACAGGAAAGAATACCTTCCCTAGTAAGTAAAACTACTCTTTGCAGTTCCTCCTTATTTTTTGTTCGGTTAATGTAGAAGTGGTGGATGAGAGATTCATATTATTCAAAATTGCTGCTTGGGGCATATTGATTCGTATCATTGTGAATCATGCCCCAACCCTATCATTGTGCCCATGATAGCTCCAAATAACTATAACCACTTTTGTTTAATTTTTTTCATTGCCTTTTATTATTTTTACCATACACTCCTCAATCCAACAATTTCCCACCAAAAAATTGCATTATTTAGTAGTTTTTATCAGTGGCGGCTCGTGCTTTGGTTGCACAGCCCCCAAATAATCGAAGAATATTATATATATATATATATATATATATATANNNTATATATATATATATATATATATATATATATAATATGTTAGGGATACACATGTTCCTTTTAATGAATTCAATATACGGCAGCAATATCGATGATTATGAAATCATCGCCAACTAGCGCTCTCTCCGCCGTATAGTGCTCTTTCAGGTATTTCATCTTGTCATCTTCTTGACTCCATTACTGCCTGAATTTACACACTGTACTCTTTCATAATAATGACATTTCACATTCATATTGCCGGATGGTTCCAAGTAAAGCTTCATAACCTTGTGCTTATTTTGTTGTAGTGATTCTATAAATTCAAACATATCCGCACAGGGAACCATGGGTTTTGAAATTGAAGTATCTGTTATGTGTGTTGTTGATATATCTGCCTGAGATCGCTCTCTTTCCATTCGAATTGATTCAGAAATAAATTGTGAATGAATATTTTTAGTATGATAAGGATTAGATACAGTCACGTCCTCCCACATGAACGATTATTTGACTTGAAGTTAATTCGATGCTTTCCTTCTTCACCTCCCTATCACTACTTTCTTCCAAATTCTCCTCGCATCCCGACTCCCACTGTCTGTCTGTACTTGGCGCGACAGCCATCGAACGCTCCAGCCTCACAGCCATGGATTAAGGAAGTATGTGTGGTTAACGTGAAAATTTCCATACGCCGGTCGTGCTTCTTGGTTCTGGTATTAGCAACCTGAGAAGTGGCTTTTCTTACCTTTTTAGGCAACATATACTGGGACATTGCAAGGAAAACGCACACTATAATCTTGCCCGCCCGGGAATCGAACTCAGGGTCGTGTTATGGAAAGCGCATACTCTGACCAATGAGTTAAACCGCGAGGGCCCAATTGTTACATCTACAAGTTATTTCTTGATAAAGTAATTTATAGCGAACCTCGCGTTAAAAAAGGATCGAGAGAGAAACGAGCGATAAAGGGGAAAATTTGAAAATATATATTCATCACGGTTAAATGTGTGTGCGCGCGCGTGTGTGTGTGTCTATA